CCCAAATTCCTTAACAGGGGCTAAGACAACTATATAAGCAACCCTCCCCCTGAGCTGGGGGCTGCTCTCTCCTCTGCGTAGGATGGGACAGTCGCCGCGCAGCCAATAAAGCTCTTGTAATTTGAACCCAGTTCGGAGTCTGAGTCTGGTCTGTCTCGTTGGTCTACAACAGTTGCCTCCCACACGACTAGACCAGGGCCGGGGACGGGCCGCAACCAAGGTACGTGCCCTTGACTGAAATTGAACCCGCAACTCATTGGTCCGTGGGCGGACACTCTAACCACTGAGCAAAACTGGCCAGGGCGAAAAGTTTTAAATGTTGAAGAGAATGATCCAGCTGAGAGAGAGTGACTGAATATATAGAAGAAATAACTGACAGTGTTAATTTGCTGAAAGGTAGGAAAGTAGGAGCCAAAGCACAGGGAGGGGGATTTATCTCAGGCAGGCAGAGGGGTCTGTCCTCTCACGCATCAGCAGGTGAGTAGACTTTCCTTCGCTCTGTGAGATAAGATGCGCACTACCTTCCTGGGTGGGCATCACCAAGGGAAGAGACTGCTACCTCGTGTGCCACACACTGCTGTCCTCACCAAAGGACTTCATTGAAATGGTTCCCAGACTTGCTTACTTCAGTTGTCCCTGATATTATAAATACATAATTAAATATTACAATAAGATATGACTAAAAAACTAAGAACTGTTTCTATCAAAACTTAGTTGGAGGTTTGGGGAAAATTAAATAAAGGTAATATGCTAAAAGTTCCTGTACATCTGGGGACGAGTGAGGCAACTCTAAAAGACGGAAAAATACAGTAAAAGTTTTTGCTTTGCAGACAAGTTTCCATTCTTGTTCTAATTTTAAGAGAACAAAACAGGAAATCACAGAATTATAACTCTGACTTTTACAAAGAAAATAAGATTGAACTCTAATGGATCTATATTTGGTTAAAAAAAAAAAAGCCTTGGCCTTACCTCAGTGTAGTGTATGATTTCGTGACTTGACTCCCCATTTCAACTGACCTTTTCAATGAACTGAGTAACTTCTGGACTAAGTTGTCACTAAGAAGGCTTCTATGGTTACAAATGTGAATACAAAGTAAGGAAAGAAGCAAGAGAGATTAAGTTATGGGTTGCCTACTACACAGTAAGAAATTTGCTATTTGACAGGTATTTAAAAAAAAAAATGTACTCCTTACAACAACCCTAGGCATTATCATTCCCACTTAGCAGACCAAGAAACAGAGAGGTTAAATAAATTACCAACTACCAAGTTATAGAACTTGGGTAGGAATTCCGTTTTCCTGACATTTATTATCCTTAGATCTAGATTGGTCGTGTCTGCTAGTCTTACATGCACTTGGACTTATCCTGAACACGTTCCACCTTTACGTCCTCCATCAGCCATCATCAATGATTCATCCTTGTCCTTCGACTCCCATAGCTAATCAATCAGCAAACCCGTCCATCAGTATCTGTTCAGTTTGCCCTCACTGCCACCAGCCTTGCAGATTCACATCATCTTTCGCATGGACTACTGCAAGCCACATTTCTTCAATCGTCAGATCTGAGCAACATCATTCTTCAATGTATTGGCTGAACACTTGGCTGTTTCTCAGGTTCTTCATTTTGCTTCTTCCATGTGTGTCCCTGGTTCTCTTCCGAGTCCTTCTCAATGTCCTTTATGGCCTGTTTTTCTTTTACCAGCCTCTTAAATGTTGATGCTCCTTAAGGGCCACTCCTTCGGTCTCTTATCCTAGCTTCTTCTGACAGATCCTAATTTTTTGCCAACAGCTTCAACTGCATTCACATACTGATGCTCACCAAATCTGCTTTCAACCATGCCCCTCATTAATTTCACAGCGGTTTAGTATCTGTCTACCTAGTGGCCTATAAGCACCTCAAACTGAAATATGTATGCCTCACACTGGACTCTCCTCTTCAATCTCCCTGTGACCAACCTCAAACCTACTTTCTCGTTATGTATTCCTCAGTGTTACCCATCTCAAACTCACACTTTAAAGTCATCCTCCACCAATCCTTCTTCACGTGCCTTCACAATCCAATCTCAAGTCTTTTGATTCTTCATGTCTTCAACTTTCCCATGGCTGTCACTCATTTCCAGCCTGCCACTAGCTATTTTCTTGTTTGGACTATAGTGAGAGACACCCTATTCCCACTGAGCCCGCAGATCAATCCTCGCTGCAGTTAGCATGAGCTTTCCAAGCCATCTGCACCTAGTCCCGATGCCTGCACGAGTAAGCCACCCAGTTAAACAAGCGACTCGATGCTCTCACTCAATTTAAAATATTCCAATACTCTCTCTCACATATGGCATGCACTTCAAAACCTATGCCGCTGCATACGTCTTTGGTGACCTAGATCTTTCCTACTTCTCCAGCCTCAAGCCATTATCTCCCATTACATCACTACTCCAGGAAAAATCAACTGTCTCCAGTTCTCCAGACAAGTCACCTTCCCATGATGCTGACTTCACACATGCGCCTTCTTCTTTCTGGAATCCTCTCACCTTCTACCAGGAAAACTCCTCCTTTCCCCTGTAAGAGTTTTAGAGCTTTTGCTGTTCTTCCCTTTTTTCTCCTCCCCCCAACAAACTTCTCCATAAATAGCATCATTTTTGCAATTGAAGTATTTATTTGTACATAACAATCACTCTGGCCTATAGAGCTGGGGGTGGGGGGAAAAGTAGGTTGAAAACATTCTCACAGCTCCCCAACATTCCTTTCACTTTCAGGAAACCCTTTCCTCTTTTTAAGGGTCATACTTGACACCACAGGCCTTGAGATCAGTCTTCCAAGTCTCTAACCTGGTCCACAGATCATGGTCATCTTCTCCATCCCAACTCCAGCCAGCATGCCTTAGTGGCCATACTGACAGCCCCCGCAACCCTAGGAGTGCAGTTCGGATTCCCCTTTTCTATGGCTGCAGTGTCACCGTTCAGAGCTGCTTCACCTCTCAACTCCTAGTCTCCGCCCCAAACTTCCTTCTATCCATTATACACAGATGTCAGGCTCACTTTATCTTTAATCTCTACCCCTTCCAATTCACCCAATTTATCAGGGCCTTAATGATCTGACTTCTCTTACAATCCAGCCCAAATCCCAGAGCCAATCTCTAGCACTCTCTAATGGCCTTGCCCTTTGGACACTCCTACCTTACAAAGACCAATCCCGGCACAATCCCTTTTCCCACCCTACGTGCTTGGCAGCTCAGCACTGGAGAAAAAGCTAAAGTTGGCCCCCAGCCACTGCAACTAATCGTTTCTTATCTCAAACTCGGTTTCAAAGGCATTCCTCAATCCTTTTTCTTGGCTTTGGTCAGTTTCCTTAGGCTTCCTAGTGTTTAATAGTAACAAAAATATAAGACATGATCTATGGTATAGAATATCAAAATAATACTGGATAAAGTATGAGGAGAAACAAAAAGGCAAACATGGTCAATGTAACTCAGCTCTAATGCTCTATGTCCTTCAGGGTCCAAGTCAATCGCTTTCACGGCACTCAGAATACTATTGCCGTCTTGTCTTGATTCCCAGAGTTTTCTGGAGTTTGAAAAATGAGGTGAAAGATGGACCGCTGGGAGACGTGGCTGATTTCAAACCCCTTTATGTCCAAGGTACCCTTCATACTTCTTATACTTTATCAATGAAACATATACAACTTTTGTTTGTTTTCATTTTAATTTATTCTGTTCGGTTTAAAGTAAAAGTCAAAACATCATATAAACACATCACAGAAGTTTTAGGCATAGTATTGACCAGTTTTAAAACAAAAACAGTGAATGGTCATTCCTCAGCTCTAATTTTACATCTTATTATACAAAGACACTATTAACACACAATTTTAATTCCTTATAAACCTATTTGTCAAGCAGCAAGATGACAATGCGTCACAGCACAGCCCAGGGTGTGTCCTTGAAGAAACCACAGCAGCAGTATTTGGTGAGTGGTTATGCATAGAACTGACTGGGAGGGTACTGTTCAACCGGTCATAAAACAGGCAGCGCGTGTACATTAGCAAGTGGAAAATGTAACTTTTATTAAGATAAAATATTACTCTTTAAGTTAAAAGCTATAAGATACTTAGAAGCAGACAAGACAAGGTGCTTTCATTCTAGACTCCATAACAAAATACTATTCCATTAGCTGCTTGAATCTATGACCTTTGAGTACTATTCATTGGCTTTTTAAAGTCAACCTCAAATATAAAAGTGTACAGTTAAAATCTAGTTACATTGGTTACATGTTACATTAAAACATAACTTTTCAGAAAAACTGACTTCAAAAAATACTGCATCATTGACTTAAAATAATTTCAAAAAACGTTGCTTTTAAAAGTAAAAATGCACTTTTCAAGTCATTTAACACATTTTGGTTTAAATGCCTTATTTGTGAAACCATCATTTAATATATGCCCAACTTTCAACAAAAATAACAGTTTGAAGCTGTTTTTAAACCTAATAGTATCTAAAGAAATGGGTCACAGCACACGTGTGAATTGGCTATTTGCCAAATAACATATTTATGTTTCCACCATGAAAACAATACTACAAAATCCACTGGATGAATTCTATTTTTAACTTGATAGAAACATTAAAAACCTCATTTAACAGTGCTACACAAATATTTAGTGTTTTTTGGCATTTAAGTCAGAGTAATGTTATCAATAAATACATTTGATACCATTTTCACAAGAGTTTCAGAGGCAAAGAAAACGATTTGGGAATGGTTAGTTGAGAAGGAAATGAAAAGCAACCTACCAATCCTCAATTTGAGGATTACTCCTCAAAAAATGGCATACTTTATCAACATCATTAATAATGAGTATTTGGACACGACTAATACTTGTATGCATTTTTAATGCTCAGGACCTTCTGAACTCTAAAATTAACCACAGGCTAGTCCATCTCCTACTGAGAAACTGAAAATACCCATATAAAGTTCTGCTAAGTTCAGTTACAAAAGCTCTAAACGGGAGTGGGGGGGTGGGGGGGTGGGGGTATAGGTCAGGAGGGCAGAAACACTATACCACACAAAAAATTCTGTTAACAACTATTTCTCTTACCTCTTTTAGTGGCCTGAGAAATATGTACTATAGTGAGTGTATTGGGGGCAGAGTACAGAGGAAAATTAAGGTTTCAAGCAAAGGGATTCATTTGTAGAATTTTCATATTAGCATCAGTGATTTCTTTTAACTCTCCTAAGAGTTAAAACATGGTAGGGTATGAGCTATTTATATGCTTTTGGGTATTTTTCCCAAATAAGTAAAGCAGAACTTTACTTATTTAAAAAATTCTACTTAAAAAGACATCCTTGAAGTATAAATATTAATAAATAATACCAACATGTATACCTTTACAAGGATTCATTTGTTTAATTTGTGGATGATACTTGTAAGCTTTGGGGGTTACATCAGCCATCCAGTCTTTAATACTGATACAATATGGAAGCACTCCAGCTACTTAAAGTTTGTCGGCAACTATTATTATCTAAACCTAAGATATCCACTGTACAGCCGAATCCACAGCTCAAGATATTAGACTATGAAAAATCTGATTTAATCCTCCCAGTACCAAGAAGCTTTTTAGGCTTTTTTTCTAACTGATGATCAAGTTTTAATGTGATATTTAGCTAGTAGGAAGCACTGAAATTAATGCTAGTGTCAGTTTTTAATCCCTACAGTCACATAAAAATTGCATCCAATGAGGAAATGAAGACAGAAAGATCATGCTCCACTCTCAGCTGCTGGGGATCTTCCCACAGCAAATACTTAAAACTGAAGTTGTGCTCTGTGAATCCCTCTCCGTCCACACAAAAGGCTACAGGACAGCAGCGTGCACCAGGAATACCGCTTGGGGCAGAGCAAGTGAACTGCTCATCAACAAACAAAACTCTGAGCATGAAGTACGAGGCGACAGACATAATCACACACATAAAACACAGGTGATCTTCTGTGATGACTAGCTCTTTAAAAACATATAAAAAGAACTTGAATTAATAAAATAAGTTGGCTTTGCAATTCACTCTTGTACAAAGCAGGTAACATTAAACAGGCAGGTTCTTTAATCCTTATCTCTCCCCCAGTAAACACTCAGTCCAAAGTTCAATGAAGACAAACGTGTGAACCTACCAAGAGTCCTTTTATAGTGAAGTGGGCATTTCACCCACTCCATTTTTTCTCCATGCCCAGTCTCTCTGAGATCTTGTCACTGAGCTGCTGTTGGTGGAGTACATTCTCCACAACACATGGCCTTGAGCATGAAGTCCGCCCATACAAGAGGAGTGACTCATGCTATCTTCTTAAAGTAGAGACAGTGCTTAGATTCCAAAGTTACTACTCTGAAGTCTTGAATAGGTTGCCAAAAAATGTGTCTCATACAGGGTAACTATTTTAACAACATTATAAGAGTCAGATTAAGTTAGCAATAATTGCTATCCTAGAAAACCAAATTTACAAATTATTTTTTATATAATCTAAGATACCATCACTTGTAAGATGCACCATATGTATCACTAAGGAAAAAGCACAGGCAATTAAACTATGACACAATGCTTTCGTATCATGTAGACTATTTTTTATTTACCGAAACAGAGCCCTTCAGTTAAACAGATTTTTATCACATTAGTCTTGTGCATACGTGTTATGAAATAAACTGGTTAGGTTATAACTATAACTTCATATTCCAAGTGCAACTTTTCTGAGTCATTTCTTACATCAGTCATCGATATCTGTGTTCTTCACACAACGGCGCCCCTGGTGTCATCAAGAGCACCAGGGACACAGCATTTCCTGACAGTGTTTCTTGAGAGTGCTCCACCACTGTCTTTTGCTTAATGTCAGCAGGAGGCTTTGGACAAAACCTGTTTGGTGCCTTGACAACGGTCCTGCTTGACACGTGACCCGATCACACCAGCCTCTCGTTGCTTGGGATTGTTTCATCTATTCCAAGGGTTTTGGCAATTTCTCCCGCCTTCACTGCACTACTTAGGGTGTGGCAGGCAATCCTTTTGCATGTGTCTCAGTGACAAAAGTAGTACAGCTTTCTCTACTTGTAAGTATCCTCCCTTCGGAGGCCGGTAAAGCATTTTGTTGTTGCTTTACAAAAAAACGATGGAATTGTGGTCATTCCTCCAGCGACAGATATTTGCTTCGCTAATATCAAATGCGTACGCCCCATGGCTCTGTTTCCTCGCCTTTCTGCATACACAACTTCGTTTCAGTGCTCACTCATAGTGTAATCTTTTAGAAGATATTTTAAACTGCCAATTAAATCTGACACGTGACACTAAGAACCCAGTGGCGATGCTATGACAGGCTGTGAGCTCACACACACAAAGGCTAGGATAATTACATCAACTATTGCCTGGCTAACCATAATGGTGAGATGCATCCCAATTTCAGAAAAGTTAAAATGTGTGTGGGGGGCACAGCATAGAACAAATAAAATACACTTTTCAAGCCTGTAACGTTTAATTGCTTCACACAAGTGCAAATAATAATAATAATAATAATAATAATAAGCTCAAGAGCCAAGGAATAAGTATATAAGTAAAAGCTAGTAAAGCAAAAGATTATCTTTAAGATAAAATCTGCAATGGTCCGATTTGGTTTAAATTCCCTTTATTTTCATATGGCTTACATGTAAATCTTTTTTTCTTAACTGGACTTGAAATCCAAGTAAAATGTTCTTAATGTTTTAGCAACTGCAAAGCCAAGTCACTGAAGACAGAGGCTCCCACTGCCTTCACCATGCACGCGCACAGGCGCGGCCGGGGTCAGTGGCCTTCGTCAGCAGGTGCCCTCCTCTGGCGAGCAGATCTGATCCTGTGCGGAGACGATGGAGCGTCCTCTTCTGTTTCAGACCCTGAAGGCTCATGATCTCCCTCCTGAGAGCCCGTGTCTCCCACCAGTTCCCGCAGAAACTTGAATTTCGATAAAAAAAGATGCCATACAAAATACCAACCTAAAGAGAGACAAAAGCATTAAGAATAATTATTATACAATGTTATCAATTGACAACATTCCAGTTAATTGTGGGGGTTATATTACAAAACAATATGTATAATATAAATAAATGTATGTGATTGCAAATATATATTTATACAACAAATACTAAGCATTTACTATGGACAAGGCATAAGGATAAACTCTGACCTTATAAACGAATGGCAAAAACAGTTTCTGCCTTTACAGAACTTAGAATCCAAGCTTGGTCTATCTACATTAAAATTATAATGAGCTTATCATACCTAAATAAAAGTGTTTATTATATTAAAATAAAAATTTGAGAGTTTTTTTTCTTGGAAAGAAGGAATACACTTTGCTATTTACTTGAAAATTCCTACTTCAATGCTAATATTTACTAAAAGCAAGTTTTCTTCAATAAGAATACAAAAGAAACAGCCCTGGCCAGTGTGGCTCCGTTGGTTGGAGCATATCCCATACTCCAAAAGGTTGTGAATTTGATTCCCAGTCAGGGCACATACCTAGCTTGCAGGTTCCATCCCCAGTCAGGGTGTGTACTGGAGGCAACTGATCGATGTTTCTCTCACATCAGTATTTCTTTCTCTCTCCTCCTCCTTCCCCTCATTTCCCTTGTCTCTAAAACTTAAATAAGCATGTCCTCAGGTAAGGACTAAAGAGAAAAAATACAAAAGAATCAATTGCACTATGGTGAAAACTTATTAGGACCAAGCTATTCACAAGTTTCTAGAAATAACAAATTTTCACAGAAAATTAATATTTTCTTTAATTACACAATGAAAGAATAAAGCCAGAACACTGGTACCTTAAGTTCAGGATTCTAAAAAGATATAGTCTTTTCATGTCAAAATGATCACACTCCTTTTGAATAACACTCCTTTAAAAATTACTAATCAAGTTTTGCTTGTTTGTGCAGTTAAGTTTACTACGTTTTGGAAGCCCGCTAATAGGAAAACAATAAAGAAGTGACTTTAAACTCGTTTCATAGAAAAGCAATAAACCATGGCATATTTTGATAACTGGTACTTCATAAAAACAAATCCAAACAACTCTTCTAACCCCAGCACACCAGAACAAGAATGGTCAACTTTATGGAAGTTTCTAATTTTACTTGTTTTTTTTTCTTATGATCTCTGGGGGTGGGGTGCGGGAGGAGGGGGGGATAAAAATGGTTAACATAAACTTCTTGGTATTAAAAGACTCAGAGATTTAACCCATTTCTCAAGTCTCTGCATTCCTCTAAACTTGAGCGCTGCATGCTAACTGAACCACCACAAACGTATTGTGGTCAACTATGCGTTTAGGTAAGGCACCTAACTTTGTAAAACAGTAAGTATTTTAACGACATTCCAAACTAGCAAGCTCTCTTTACCCAACATTCTTTGTAAAACTAGGCACAGCGAGGAAGAACCGTGGAGAGAGTCAGGAGTGCTAGTTCTGACTGAAGACTTAAAAACCGATTTTGAGGAAAAACTGAGAAGTTATCAAAAGGACTTAAGGTGCCTGGCATTTTGTAAATGCTCAGCTGACATTAGCTGTGGTTGTCCTCTGGGCAGTGACTGCCAGTTTGTTGTTAATTACCTTTTTTAATAACTGAGATACAGCCTGGCCAGTGTGGCTCACTGGTTGAGTGTCAGCCCATGTACCACAAGGTCTCCAGTTGGATTCGTGGTCAGGGCACGTGCCCAGGTTGTGGGCCTAATCCCCAGTCGGGGGGCATGCAGGAAGCAGCCAATCGATGTTCTCTCCCATCGATGTTTCTGTCTCTCTCTCCCTCTCCCTTCCTCTCTAAAATCAGTAAAGAAAAAAAATTGTTTAAATAAATAAAATTGAGACACAATTCACATATCATAAATTATGCCTTTTTAAAGTGTACAATTAAGTGATTTGGAGTATATTCACAAGGTTGTGCAACCATTTTCTAACTCCAGAAATTTTTCATCAAACCCAAAAGAAACCCATACCCATTAGCAGTTATGCCCTATTTCCTCCTTCCCCCAGCCCCTGGCAACCATTAATCTACTTTTCCATCTCTATGGATTTGCCTATTCTGAGCATCCTATATACAGGCACACCTTACTTTATTGTGCTTTGCAGGTATTAGGTTTTTTACAAATTGAAGGTGGGTGGCAACCCTGCACCGAGTAAGTCTATTGGTGCCATTTTCCAATAGTTTTTGCTTATTTCATGTCTCTGTGTCACATTTTGGTAATTCTCACAATATTGTAGACTTTTCTATCATTATTACACTTATTATGGTGATCTGTATTCAGTGATCGTTGACGTTACTATTGTAATTGTTTAGGGAGTCATGAACCATGCCCACATAAGATGGCAAACTTGATAAATGTGGTGTGTGTTCTGACTGCTCCACCGACCAGCCGTTTTTCCCAAGCTCTCTCCTTTCTTCTTGGGCCTCTCTATTTGCTGAGACACAACAATACTGAAATTAGGCCAATTAATAATCCTATAATAGCCTCTAAATGTTCAAGTGAAAGGAAGAGTTGGACATCTCTCACTTTAAATCAGAAGCTTAAAATGATTAAGCTTAGCGAGGAAGGCCTGTCAGAAGCCGAGAGAGGCCAAAAGCTAGGCCTCTTGTGCAGTGAGCCAAGTTGTGAATGCAAAGGAACAATTCTTGAGGGAAATTAAAATTGCTACTCCAGTGCGTCCGAGACAACTTCAAGCATATCAACATTCGTGCCATGGGGGTGCTGGAAGGAGAGAGGGCATGAAATTGAAAACCTATTTGAAAAAATAATGACAGAAAACTTCCCTAACTTGGTAAAGGAAACAGACATACAAGTCCAGGAAGCACAGTGAGTCCCAAACAAGATGAACCCCAAGAGGCCCACACCAAGACACATCGTCATCAAAATGCAAAAGGTTAAAGACAGAGAATCTTAAAAGCAGCAGGAGAAAAGCAGTTAATTACCTACAAGAGAGTTCCCAAAGCACTATCCGATGATTTCTCAAATGAAACTATGCAGGCCAGAAGGGAGTAGCAAGAAATATTCAAAGTGATGAAAAGCAAGGACCTATTACCAAGATTATCCTTCAAAACTATCATTTAGAATCGATGAAATATGAAGAGCTTCCCAGATAAGAAAAAGCTACAGGAGTTCATCACCACCAAACCAGTATATGAAATGCTAAAGGGTCTTCTTGAAAAAGATAAAAAATATGAACATTAAAATGGCAATTAATACATATCTATTAACAATCGAACAGAATGAACAAGCAGAACAGAAATAGACTAACAGAGACAAAGAACTTTTTGTTCTTTGCTGAATGGGAGGAGAGTTGGGGGGTGGGTGAAAAAGGTGAAGGGATTAAGAAATACAAATGGGTTATTATACAGTAGTCATGGTGATATAAAGTACAGCATAGGGAATATATAGTAAATATTATTTTAATAACTAAGTGTGGTGGTACTGGATGGGAACAGGATTTATTGAGGTGATCACTTATTAAGTTATATAATGTCTGGTCACTGGGGTGCACACCTGAAACTAATATAATAATGTATGTCATTTATAATTGAAAATTTAAACATTTCCTTTTTTTTTCCTTTTTTTTTTGTTTGTTCAGACAGAGTGGGAGGGAGGGAGAGAGAGAAATATCGACGTGAAAGGGACACATCGAGTGGCTGCCACCTGCACGACCCAACCAGGGCCGGGGACAAACTGCAACCAAGATACGTGCCCTTAGCAGGAACCGAACCTGGGTCTCTCGGGACCTCAGGCCAACGCTCTAACCACTGAGCCAAACCAGCCAGGGCTGATATATATATTTTTGAAGTGCTACTCCAGTGAACACATGAATACGAAAGCAAAGCATGCTGATACGGAGAACATTTTAGTGGTCTGAATAGAAAAATCAAACCAGTTACAACATTCCCATAAGCCAAAACCTAATCCAGAGCTAGCCCCAAACTCTCTTCAATTCTATGAAGGCTGAGAGAGGTGAGGAAGCTTCAGAAGAAAGGTTTGAAGCTAACAGAGGTTGGTTCATGAGGTTTAAGGAAAGAAGCTGTCTCTGTAACATAAATGCAAGATGAGGTACCAAGTGCTGAGCTAGAAGATGTATAAGTTATCCAGAAGATTTAGCTAAGATAACTAATGAAGGTGGTACACTAAACAACAGATTTTCAATGCAGACATAACAGCCTTATACTAGAAGAACGTGGCCATCTAGGACTTTCAGAGATAGAAGTCAATGCCTGGCTTCAAAGCTTCAATGGACAGGCTGACTCTCTTGTTAGGGGCTAATACAACTGGTGACTTTAAGTTGAAGCCAATGCTCATGTACCATTACAAAAATCCTAGGACCCTTAATAATTATACTAAATCTTACTCTGCCTATGCTCCATAAATGGAACCATGAAGCCCAGATGATAGCACATCTGTTTACAACATGGTTTACTGAATATTTCAAGCCCACTCACTGTACAGACCTACTGCTCAGAAAAAAATATTCCTTTCAAAATATTACTATGGGTTGACAATGCACCTAGTCACTCAACAGCGCTGAAGGAGATGTACACAAGATTAATGTTGTTTTCATGCCTGCTAACATAACATCCATTCTGTAGCCCATGGATCAAGGCATAATTTTGACTTTCAAGTCTTATTTAAGAAACACATTTTGCAAGGCTATAGCTGACATAGATAGTGATTCGTCCAATGGATCTGGGAAAAGTAAATTGAAAACCTTCTGGAAAGCATTCACCATTCTAGATGCCATTACGAACATCCGTGATTCATGCATGGAACAAGGTCAAAATACCAACATTAACAGGAGTTTGGAAGAAGTTGATTTCAACCTTCATGGGTGACTTTGAGGTGCTCAAGACTTCAGTGGAGTTAGTAACCAACTGTGAATGTGGTGAAAAAAAGCAAGAAAACTAAAATTAGAAGTGGAGCTTGAAGATGTAACTGAAATGCTGCAATCTCATTATAAAACTTTAATGTATGAGTT